TTGTCAAAGATCGCCAACAGATCAATTAGAACCGGGCAAATCAACTTTTGTGCACTCAAAACTCGACATATCAGTTGCTGTTCCTCAAAACTGGGCACAACAGTTTCGCACCTCAATGCTTAACATATCAATGTTTTTCACCTCAAAATTTGGCACGTTAAATTATCTTACTAAATTATGTTACCACAATCGTCGTACTGACAAGGTCCAATTGTGGTAACGGTAAGAAATGCATACGACTTAATCGACCGAAACATTTCTTACCCACGTAAATACTTCCTTAATACCCTTGTCCTCGTTTTCTTTTCATATTTTCTCTTTAACCCTAAATGTTATTTATGGTATATCAGTTTCTGCTTCTCAAAAAACTAGGCATATCAAAATTTACGCCGCCGTCCTGAGCCTATCAGCGATCGCACCCCAAAGTCTGTAGGTACTTGCGCATTAGCTTTGGATTCTAAAACTAATCGTATCAGTTTTTATTTACAATTCGAATTTGTTATATCGAATTTTCTCCCTAAACAGGGCATATCAGTCTTTTTCACACCCTGAAATTAGCCATAATAGTTTCTGTACCGCAAAAATAGGATTTTTTTTTAAAATTCAGTTTTGGGAAATGATGTCTGCAATTTTGCAAAAATGATATAATTTTAGTTTTCTTTGATCAAAGCAATTGAAAAAATTGCCAGCTCTACAGTACGGGTAGTTTTTCCAGCTATTCCGGGTATAAAGGGGGGATGCTTCAATCACTAAAAGAAGAAGCTGCGCCGGCTCGCAAATTGTAAATCCAAAAAGAAAAGTGTGAATTTTTAGTTGCCTAAGAATATACGGAGAATTGAAACATTAAGGCCGGCGAAGAAGAACACAGAGTAAATAACTATAGCTAAAGTATTTACTTGGATAGGGAGATGCCTTTGCCAATATGGTTTTCGTGGTGCAGCACCGAATCATGCCATGAGATATCCAGGAAATTTAGGATCCGACGCATCTGCTCCTCGGGATGAAGCACCAGCTGCTCATAATAAACCATTAAACATAATTTCTTGCCAATCATTTTACACTGCTGAAAACTCAAGCTAAATAAATCACATACGATTTAAATAAGCGCGTGAAACTTCAATTAAGCCTTTAAAAAACAAATTTCCACTCATTTTCTCTCCCTGCCGATGTGAAAATGGACCAATAACTGGTGCAGATCTTGGTGATAGTAGCAAATATTCAAGTGAGAGACCCTTAAAAGTAATGAAGCACGCCGGAATGTTGCTAACCTCATACATAACACCAATAATGCGATTCCATCGGACCAGACAGTCTCTTGGATCGTTATGGTCGAATCCCGAAATTGTTACTTTACGCGATATAATTGAGTGGACTGTGGCACGGCCATCCCGAATCATCAGCAGAAATTTACTGTTCGGGAAAAGATGTGCAAGATATTCCGCTGATTTCATCGTAAATGGATCTTTATTACACAGTCTTTCGGCAGGTTCCCCATGTCCTGCTATTACCTTAAAATTTTACATATTTCTAAGCAAAGCAGAAATTCCTTGCGAAAGATGTTACTGGGATGCTTCCATACTTTCAGTTAGCACTCACCCTATATCGATATAATCTTGTTGCTGGCAGTTAACCTATCGTGGTCGAGGAATAGCAGTGCTCGAGGGGAGGCTCAACACAAACCAAGAACATTTCGAAACGGCTAAAATTTTTTGCCAAAATGATAATATTGGGAAAAATCGCTGAGCTAGCAACCCTGACAGAGACAGAGCGCCGGAGAAAAAACAATTGGGAAAGTTGCCAGATGCAAAGAATTATTCTCCTAAATTCTTCTGCTGCATATTCATAATTTGATTTCACAGTTAATAAATATTGGCAAAGACCAATAACTTGGTATGACTTTTATCAATAAAATACCTTCGTTCAATTGTGAAAAAGAACAACTAAATTTCAACCGAATTAATTGTAAAGGTTGCTGAAGTTAAACTGTTATTTTGGTAATAATAATGATAACAGCAACAATGATGATAATATTAATAATGGTAATAATAACAATAATAATATCGGATAATTTAAAAACTGCAAAAGACTTGCAGTTTTAAGCTTTCGAGCAAATTTTAATTTCCTTTTTCTGCTACAAAAACACACAGAAATATTTCCAAGAAGAAGGAAACTCACTTGTAATATGAATGAAGTGATTGCATCGTCGAGTACTTGATCGTTAACACCCG